GAGGTAGGCTAGACAGAAGCAGGATAAGTGACAGGCCACCATCAGAGAGTGCTTAGAATACTTCAAAGGAAGGAGTATATGTGAGTTGTACAGGTGTTTGGATGGTTAATGATAAAGAATGGGAAGACCCCCAGGTCCTCAGGTTACTTAAGCCTGTGAACCATGTGTGATACCTAATGCCCTAAAATCTACCCAGGATGGGGATTATCACCCCATTCTGTGCCTTGGACATCATATCATACTATCAGGGATAGTAGCTTTTATTCAAACTTACGTCTGCAGACAACCTTGAGGTTTAAGAGAATGCTCTGTTGGAGAGGTAGATAGGCTAGGAAAAGTAATTGTAAAACTGCGTTTGTAATTCTTTTGGGTAAGATCTGAGTTAAAGTAGTCTTCCTGGCTAGCAATTAAGGGCATGGTTTTCTACTTATCTGTCATCATCATCCCTGGTGGACATTTCTTTCCAATCATTTGAATGGTGGCTGCTATTACAGGACTATGGGACTGAGACAGTCGGGAGTTTCTCTGCATGTTCTGTGTATTACACGGTGAGGGTGGAGGAGATTAAGAGTGGATGTATATATATGTACATGGGCTTGTGTGTCGTTTATTAATTTGCTTCTGCTACGGCAATCGGAATTTTTGCAAAATTGGGCTTTTTGGTTTTGTTTCCTGAGAGAGAAGTAGCTTAAGCAGATACTAAATTGTGTGTGTGTGTGTGTGTGTGTGTGTGTGTGTGTGTGTGTGTGTGAGAGAGAGAGGAGAGAGAGAGAGAGAGAGAGAGAGAGAGAGAGAGAGATATGATGTGTGGTGGTCAGAGGACAACTCTCAGGATTTGGTTCTCTCCTGTCACCATGGGGGGTCCTGGAGGTCAAATTCGAGTAGTTAAGTCTGCACCTAAGTGCCTCTGTCTGCTGAGCCATATTGCTGGCCCAGGTGAAATCTTTTACTGAAATTAAAAGATTGCTTTGAAAATGATCCAAAAAATAAGATCATTCTCTGAACTTAAAGGTAAATGCATGAGATTTATGGTTGCATTTGGAGCTTGCCCAAAAGTACCAAATGTCTGATTTTACTGTCTATATAGAATATGAAACGTAGAGAAAATGTAAACCCCGGCCTTCCATATTAACAGGGACTTTTCTAGGCTTTTGGATTTATTTTTGCTTCTTTCTTTCTCCATAAAATTCTTTGAGGCTTGCATTGTATTTTTTTAAAATTATTTTTATTTTATGTGTATGACTGTTTTGCCTGCACGTATGTAAATGCATGATTAACATATGATGCCCATGGAAGCAAGAAGAGGGTGTTGGATCCCCTGGAACTGGAGTTAAAGATGATCGTTAGCTGCTCTGTGGGTGCTGGGAACTAAACCCATGTCCTCTGGAAGAGCAGTAAGTACTCGTAACTGCTGAGCCACCTCTCCAGCCCCCTGTATTTTGTTTAGATATGTAGCCCAGTCTTGGATTCCTGATGCTCCTGCCTTTGCCTCCTGAGTGCTGGGGTTTCAGCCTGTGCTGCCATAGTTCCCATGCAAGGCATGGATTTTAGTGAAAACCGGTTGCAAAGGATGTGAGAATCCTCTTTTCTCCATATTCAGACTCGTTTTAGAATGAGTTTGTTATATACCTATATATGTTCCATATGTAAGTAACATGATGTGGTATAGTCTACCTACTAGCTGTGAGTCCCCCCTGTTGTGTTGGTAAGGAAAGTCATCGTAACACTTTTCATGCTTGTTATTCATTTATTTAGAAAAATCTTTGAAGAGGTTCAAGGCCCATAGGCAGGTAACTATGTGTGCCCCTTAGAGATTCTCACTTGGTGTTTTAGAGGCATCTGTTCCAAATTTTGGACTCTTTTCTAATTTTATCTAATTAGTCTTGGCAAAGCTTACAGAGCAGTCATAAAAGCTTGTTTAAATGCATGGAACAACATCACCTTTTATCTGAATCACTTAAAGCTGCCTAATGCATTGAGTGTCCATGCTCTAGCCTGCTTTCTCAAACTTAGATCTGCAGATACCCTCAAGTTGGAGAGGATGGTTTTCCTTTAAAGGGAGTCCATTGGTATATCATTGGAGTTGGGGAAACATGGTCAACAGTGGCAAATACCCTGGAATTTGAATCTTATTCTTTTGTTTTGTTTTTAGGAAAGGTCTCCCCCTATATAGTCCCGGCTGACCTAGAACTTGTTATGTAGACCAGGCTGGTCTCGACCTCACAAAGATCCTTCTGCCTCTGCCTCCTGAGTGCTGGGACTACAGGCTCCCACCACCATGCCTGACTCTTGAGTCTCATTCTTGACTCATTATTTGGATTTTTGCCACCAGTAGGTTTTTTTTTTTTTTTTTTTCAGGTATATTAGGGAGTAGAACATTGGTACAGGTTTTGGTTGTGATGCTCTTGTTTTACCTGCTTCTGTAGTTACCAGTTAACAGTCCAACATGGTGTGCTGTTAACTGAACCAGTATCAGTTTAGAGTAGACAATACCATGTGGAACCAGCTAACGTCGAAAGCCTCATATTTTCCTCCTGTTAAGCCAGGACCCAGTGTGAGTGAAGAATGTTCTGTCACCCAGTTACTATTTCTCCAGCACTATGGTGGCAATCTAGGATACATGCATACTTGGTTTTGCCTTTATACTCTTCTCTACCCTGCCTTTTAGACACCGAGACTTCAGAAAAGTTTGTTTTAAAATTTCAGATAACTAATTTGAAAATGGACAACCAGCTTGAGATGTCTTCTAATAAGCAATCGATCTTCTATAGAGATCACAATTTGAGTGACCTCTTCTGCTTGGAGGAGACTTGATAACCATTGAGTTCCATTTCTTGTAGTGGGGTCTTTTGAAAGCCTGCCAAAACAGTGGCCTGCCAAGTCATTAGTAAGAGCACACATAATGAAGTCAGGTGGTATGGCACGTCTCCAGCCCATGATTCTCAGCTAAGGTGACCTTTTTAAGACTGATCAGATGCTTAAATGTCATCAACTATTTTGTTGTAAGGTCCTCTGAGTAATCATACCCACATTTTAAGTTTTTTTTTTCATCTTATGTTTGTAGCAATTGTTTATTCTCGTTCTTTTGTGCTATGGTGACTATCACTCAGGTTCACTAAGACTTTATCTTGACTTTAAATATGGGTGAGGGGGGAGCTTCATTTTCTCAGACTTTTCTTTATATTCTGTATTTTCAAGCTTCAGATTTAGTTCATAACTCAGTGATAATCTTGGCAGGGGAAGGAGACCTTCTTTAAATATAAAAATACTGGGCTATTTTTTGATGTGTTTGTAGCCTTGGAAAAGTTTTCCTATATTTATCCAGGAGGTCATTTTAAGGCACGTAGGAGTTATAGCTATATATTTTTAGATCATCTTTTTTTGCGTGGTCACTTTTCAGAATTTGTAAGTTAAGAGTTATCAGGGGCTGGAGAGACAGCTCAGCAGTTAAGAACACTGTTCTTGCAGAAGGCCTGGGTTTGAATGCGAGCATCCACATGGCAGCTAACAACTGTCGGTAACTCCAGTTCCAGGGGATCCAACAGCCTCTTCTCTCTTCTGCAGGAATTGCACAACATGGGTGTACTTACCTAATGCAGGCAATACATGTATACACATAAAATAAAAATGATAAATAAAATATTAAAAAAAAAACAGTTATTGCCAGGCATGGTGGCTCATGCCTTTAATCCCAGCACTCAGGAGGCAGAGGCAGGCAGATCTCTGTGAGTTAGAGGCCAGCCTGGTCTCCATTAGCGAATCCAGGCCAGCACAACATGGGTGTACTTACCTAATGCAGGCAATACATGTATACACATAAAATAAAAATGATAAATAAAATATTAAAAAAAAAACAGTTATTGCCAGGCATGGTGGCTCATGCCTTTAATCCCAGCACTCAGGAGGCAGAGGCAGGCAGATCTCTGTGAGTTAGAGGCCAGCCTGGTCTCCATTAGCGAATCCAGGCCAGCAGTGGCTACAGGGAGACCTTGTCTCAAAAAGACAAAAAAAAAAAAAAAAAAAAAAAAATGGGGGCTGGAGGGATGGCTTAGGGGTTAAAAATACTGGTTGTTTTGGATCTTTGTGAGTTCAAGGCCAGCCTGGTCTACATAGTGAGTTCAGGTCAGCTGGAAAAAAAAAAAAAAAAAAAAAAAAAAAAACCAAAACAACAACAACAACAAAAAAAAGAGTTATCAAATTCACCGAACAGTTAAAAAAACAGGACATTTAACATTTGTTACTTTTATCCTTACTGTTACCAAATAGCTAACAAGAAGTATCTTAAGGGAGGAAGGATTGACTTATGATATGAAGTGACCTAGCCCATCATGGAAGGGAAAGCAGGGCCTCAGTATATGCTGGCGGCTTACACTGTGTCCACAGTCAGGAAGCAGAAAGAAGTGATACTGGTGCTCACCCTCTTCTTCCTTTGCAGCCCAGACCCTCAGGCCATGGGATAGTGCTACCTGGATTCAGACTGAGTCCTTCTCAGCTAAACCTTTCTAGGAGCACTTTCATAGACACATACAGAGGTATGCTTCCATAGTGAGTTTAAATCCTGATGAGTTGACAATCAAGATTTACCATATACTCTATATAATATATAACCAGTCAAGATAAGCTATCTTCCCTACACCTAGAATCAGTGTTACATGGACCACGTTTGCTTGATCTTTCTACACGTGGTTTTGAAACAGCTTTCTGCTTTCTTGATCATTGTCTTTTCACAGGCTCTCCCTCCTCTTCCTCCTCCTCCTTTTTGAGACAGGGTCTTCCTGTAGCCGCACCTGGCCTGGAACTCACATGTAGACCAGGCTGGCCTCGAACTCACAAAGATCCCCCTGCCTCTGCTTCCCAAGTGCTGGGACTAAAGGTGTGTACCACCATGCCCTGCTTCAAAGGCTCTGTCTTACAGAGAGCAGCAAACTCTCAGGCTGCAGTATCTGGATTAAGTTTCAGCATTTTAATTCCTTGCTTAATAAACATCTTCTCTTGAATAGGATGAACTTACTGCTGTGAATGTAAAGCAAGGCTTCAACAATCAGCCAGCCTTCAGTGGAGATGAACATGGCTCAGCCAGAAATATTGTAATCAACCCATCAAAGGTAATGCTCATTGTTTCCTGTAACTCCTGAAAAGGTGCTTTGTGATGCCATGGGTAGTTGTGTATGTAAATAAAGTGCTGCTGTTGAAGCCACACCCCATGTTCAAAATTCCCTCCTGTATGCCCTCCTGTATGCCCTCCTGCCACAGGATCCGGCCAGAGACCACACAGCAGTTTTCCATGTCACTTCACTCTTAGTGCAGCGCCGCTTTCTGCCTTCGATTTTTTTGAAAGGCTTTCAAGGCTGCCATTATGGAAGGACTGTTTTACATTCTAGTCTTAAATTCTACATGAATTTTGTTCTCGTGATGGTTCAGGTTTACTGTTTTTGTTAAGACTACATTGTGTTAACATCAGGAGGATTGCAATGCCATATTGCCCTATTTCTGACATACACACACACACACACACACACACACACACACACACACACACACACACACAGAGCTTGAGTATTTAGTTATGGTGATGTTTGCTGTCTTCCTACATTGTAAAAGTAGTGGTCTTTACTTCTTGGTTACCTCTAGATGGTGTTTTTTTTTTGTTTTGTTTTGTTTTTTTAATTGAATCCAGGGCTCCCAGTTCCTGTCCTACCCAAGCTCCTATATAGTGATACTTTGAGACTATATGAATAATCTATTCTTCAATAAAATTTTACCCAAAGATATAATAATGATTGATTCATTCCTTCCCTCCTGCTCGCCCTCTCTCTTTCCTGAGACAGGGTCTCATTATGTAACCTGGTTGGTCTGAACCTGCTGTGTAGACCAGGCTGGCCTTGAACTTGTAGCAGTCTTCCTGCCTCTGTCTCCTGCGTGCTGGGATTACAGGCACGTGTCACCATCCTGGCTCTTTCTTGCTGAATGGTTTATTCTGCTGGTCGGTGACAGATGTTTTTCTAATTATCTTTCCTGGCCTCATTCTTTTGTGAAGAAGAGCTTCCTTTGCATTTCATTATTATTATATTTTAGTATCACTTTGTATCATTCAGGTTCCTTAAAATGTGCTAAGATTTATTATCTTCATTTTCCTTTTGGATGCCTGAATTGTCCCATGATTGGCTTCTAGGGGCCCCTTTAACCTGGCCCTTGGCTAAACTTCCCTGTCACTGTCTGAGCACTTACTGTTGGCACAACAGCATATTCCAGGATCACCTTGTTCTTTCTCTGCCTGTCCTGAATGCTGGGCATGCTCAGCCCTGCTGGGGGCTCATTAGTTCTACGCCCTTTCAGTGGACAGAGGTGGCAAACACATAGATATTTTTGTTATCTAACTTACCAATTTTATCTATGTTCCTATTGTTACCATTACTAAACTTATATGATAGGATATTTTCTTTTCTTTTCCTGTTTGATCTTTGTTCCTCCCTCTTCCTAAAGTGAGAATCCTGGCCCTCGTAATACTAACGTATTTATTTGCTTTTACTACAACACGCAAAAAGTTTCAGAATAAATGATATCCATATCATCCCAACAGCAGAATTTCTGTGTAACATTTATAACTTTTCTACAATACTTTTTGTCCTTAAACCAACTTCCAATAAAAATTTATAGACTGTAAGTTGGGTGTGGTGGTGCATGCCTTTAACCCCAGCACTTGGGAGGCAGAGGCAGGTGGACTGTGAGATTGGGGCCAGTCTGGTCTACATAGTGAGCTCCAGCACAGCTGGGGCTAGGGAGACCCTGTCTCAAATATATATACATATATATATGTATGTATATTTCCCCAGTGCTGGGACTAAAGGCGTGTACCACCATGCCTAGTTTCAAAGGCAGTCTCTTACAGAGAACAGCAAACTCTCAGACTGCAGTGTCTGGATTAAGTTTCAGCATTTTTAGTTCGCTGCTTAATGAACATCTTCTCTTGACCAGGATGAACACAAATACCTATATTTGTGTTGAAAAGTTCATTGAATTAAATGTCTTTTGCAGTGTGGTTGTTTATCAGTTAAATATATATAGGATTATTTTTTCTCATTTTCTTTTAGAGATTGGTTTTTAAATTCTTTTTGAGTTATTAGTGTTTGATATTAAAATACATTCACTGTCATAAGATTAAAAACAGCATACATACACATAAAAAGAAATAAAAATACAAGTTAATTTCTCTACTTCCTTTCCCTCTTCCTAACCCTCACCCTAACCTTACTACACATTAAAGGTTCATATACTATTCTGGTTCTCTTTTTATGTGTGAACACGAACATACAAACTCATAAATAATCGACCATTCGACTGTTTGCTATTGAAAAGTTTGTGAAAGAAAACAGAAGCTTTTTTTTTTCCCTCGTAATTCCATTGACCAGACACAGTGATGTTTTTAGGTGGGTTTTTTTTTCAATCTTTATATACTTTGTGCTACAACTATAATTGTGTATTTGTGATTATGCAGGTATGTATATGTAACTGGTAACTCAGTGTATGCTTTGCCATTAGACATTTTTTTGGGGGGGTTCTTTTTGAGACAAGGTCTCCCTGTAACCCCAGCTGTCCTGGGACTCACTATGTAGACCAGGCTGGCCTTGAACTCACAGAGATCCACCTGCCTCTGCCTCCCAAGTGCTGGGATTAAAGGTGTGCACCACAACGCCCAGCTGCCATTAGCCATTTTTAAGTGTGTAGATCTTGGGACACTGCTATGTAACTATCTACTGTCGGTCTCCAGAATGTTTTCATTGTTCTTAACCCAAATACAGTTTAAAAGTAAATATTTTGCAGGCCCTTTTGGCTAACTTATTTATTTATTTTTATTTTTTTGGTCCTTTTGAGACAGGATCTCCCTGCAGCGCTAGCTGGCCTGGAACTCACTATGTAAGCCAGGCTGTCCTCAATCTTACAGAGCTTGCCTCTGCCTCCCAAATACTGGGATTAAAGGCATGCGCCACAACTCCTGGTATGGGCTGATGTAATAATAAGTCATGGGTAGATAATATTCCATCACTCACTTGCCGTAATTGACTGAAACCTTCAGATGAAGCAGTTAGTATATCCCTGATTTCCTATGGTTATTTAACTTGTAGTCAGATCTGAACATAGAGCTTTTGAGTAGTCTTCTGATTGGGCAACACGAAAACATGCCACAGACTCGGCAGCATAAACATGATCTACAAGCTGAAAGTCCATCATCAGAGTCTGGTTTCTCTGGAGGCATCTCCTAGGCTACCTTCTTACTCACTCCTCATCTCCTGAGGTGTCTCCTAGGCTCCCCGGCTCCCCCTCTGACTGTATTCTCATCTCTGTCTTTTTCTTATGAAACCATTACCTTGGGTAGGGCCTCATCCCTATTGCCTCATTTAACCTTAAGTATCTTCTTTAAAACCCTTATCTTCACAAGAGAGACCATTCCTCAACTAGTGGAAGGAGAGAACCAACTCCTGAGAGTTGTCCCCTTCCTCCATACATGATTTATGGCACATGTGTGTCTGGATTTGCACACACATCTCATAGTCTTTTCCTCTTTCTCACATACATATAATAATAAATAATGTTAAAAGTTAATAAATAATATTGGTAAGATTGAAAAGATAAATAAAAAGCCTGCTGTTTAATATAGTCACATTTTGGGATAGGGTGTCAGTGTATGAATTTCAGGGATCTACTGTTTAGTTCATATCATAAGAAGTACTTTGTATCTTATGAACTGCTCATTTGGTTTTGGTTCTTAGTGCCATGTTTTATGTTAATTTAAACATCCAAATTAATGAAAATAAACACCCATCACAACTGTCAACCACTTTTCTGTGAGATTTATTCAGGAACCTAAGCCTTTCGAAGTAATTTGTTGTATGAATGGTGGTATAACACCAGAACTTTTTCCATATTATTATGAAAAGCACTATTTTCTGAAGAGTTCAGGACAGATTAAAAAACAGATGTTGAACTTAACCTTCTTATACCTTGTTTGAAAGAATATAAATTGGTATTAAACTTCTTGAAGGGTGGTATGGCACTGTAACATAAAGTTGCAGAATCATGCATTCTATAGAAATTTATCCCAAAGCCATATTGCATGTGCTGAAGTAACAAATGTGAAAGGCTGTTTGATTTAAAGAGTTTATAATAGCAACATTTAGGAACAGATGCTCCAAATGCCCATTAATAGTCTCTTGATTAAATAAAAGATGGCCTATCCATACACTACATTATTATGTAGCTATAAAAATGAATGAATCCTGTATATAGGCATGAAATACTCATATTGAGGTGTGTATTGAGCTGTGTAGCTGTGTATACCAGAAAGGGAAACAGCAAGTATGTGTTTGCTCCCCTTTGTTCACTTAAAAAACAGTGGAAGTGCACGCAACCAAGTAATCAGAGTGTTTACTTGGAGGGTAGAAGTTAAAATTTGAGAATGATGGGGCTGGAGAGATGGCTCATCAGTTAAGAGCACTGACTCCTTTTGCAGAGGACCTGGGTTCAGTTTCCAGCACGCACATGGCAGCTAACAACCATCTGTGACTCAGTTCCAGAGAATCTGACACCCTCTTCTGACCTCTGCAGGCTTTTCACACACAGGTGCACTTACATACATGCAGGCAGTACACTCATACACATAAAATAAAAATAATAAAAGATTTTTAAAAGATTTAGGAATGAGATCTAGAGAGATGATGGTTCAGCAGTTAAGAGTACTGGCTGCTCTTATAGAGGACCTGGGTTTGAGTTCCAGTACCCAGTACACGGCAGCTAACAACCTTCGTAGCTCCAGTTCCGGGAGGAATCTGACTCCCTCTTCTGACCTCTGCGGGAATTACACAACACTGCTGCACTTACATACATGTAGGCAACACACTCATACACGCAAAAATAAAATAAATATTAAAAAAGATTCAAAAATGAAGATCTTTGAATATATTTTATGATTTTTGAGTAATATACATATATTGTTGTTAGAATTAAATACCATAGATAGGACTATGACAAACACCTGTAATCCTAGCATTTGGGATGTAGAGGCAGGAAACATGAGTTTGAGGCCAGTGTGAGACTGATCTTACTTTTTTTTTTCTTTAAATGCTATAATAATTTTTTGATATTTAGCTGTAATACATATTTCTTCCATCTTGCTTTCTTGGGAGTTTTAACTTTGTTAAAGTATACTTTTATTTTACAACATTTTCTAGCAAGAATTAGAAAAAAATATGCATGCAGTATGTTCCAAAGGGTGTATTGATTATTTAGACTAATTTTCTTTTCATTTTTATAGCCTTGTTTATTATGATTAAGGTATTTGTACATAATTGCAAGCAAGAGAGCTCTTAAATTTACAATAGTCTTTAATGTTAGGTATTTAGTGTCTTTGGTGGAAAGACCAAATATCAGTCAAGAAATTTAAAATTAAATACTTGTTGCTAGTGGCTGCTTGTTTGCAAATAACTGGTTCTGCTACAGTTTCTACTTCATTTTTCTGCTTTAAACAGTTTGTTTTAAGAAAAACTCATATCTCCTTTTCCTCTACTTACTTAGCTTTTGTTACCATTTTATACCAACCCACCCAGACAGACTTTTATACCCAAATCACAAGGATCAGAGAATGTCAGTCAATTCATTCACATTTGAATACAGAGTGGTCAGAGCTTTTCATCTTGATAGTTAAGCTTGGCTAATGGCTTAAACCTGTGTCTAACTGTGCATGAGGTATTTATTACCTCTGACTTTTAATAAGTCGGCGAGCCTTGCTTTCCTTCCAGGGAAGGGCCTTTATCTAGCTCGGAGCTGCCACTGTACTTTATTTTTAGACATTGTTTACATCATTTGATTGAACGTTTCTGAGGAAATGGGATATGGTGCTTTTTAGCTGATTCTTGAAGATGCTCAGTAGCTTTCCTGTAGATTTACTGAATCTTTCTCTTTCTCTAGATCCTGTTCTCCATCCTTTGCCCATCTTATAGTTTGGGTGATGTGAAGACGATAAAATAGCTTTCAGAAGCTTACCACTTTGCCCCATCCTGAGTTAGTGACTCCCACCTCCCTCCCTCCTTTCTCTCCTCCCTCCTCTCTCTCCCTCCCTCCACTTGTGAAATTGATAGCTCAGTCAAAAATGGTGACTACCTAATTTAATTGTACCTTTTATAATTTTCCATTTAAATAAATTTCTCTAGATTCTTTTTTATAAAAACCATAACTGTAAACACAGAATATCCGTTCTAAAATGATGTGTTTAGATGAAAGAAATAAAAGGAAGACTGCAGTGTGATCACTGGGTTCTCTCCTCCTCTACGACACCTCTCAGGGAACACATTCTCTCATGTTGGGTGTGCAGTATGAAAAAGGCGCAGCGCGACTGAAATAATGCAACACTCGTTCTGAAATTTATTCTGAATATAATTAATTTCACGTTACCAGGGATTTTTAAGGTGCTGCTTTTTTCCCAGACTGCTTGGTGATAGTGGGATCAAAGTGCTGTGTGAGTTTTGCATCACATTACTATATGGAGTCACACTTTTTATGGCTTCAAGGACTTAGATTTTTATCTTGTGCTCTGATGGGCTGTGTAAAGATTTTTCAGTTCAAACAATGAACATATAGTACTAAGATAGTTGTTTACTGTCTTTAAATGTTCTCTTGTTTCCTCTTCTTTCCACAGATTGGAGCTTATTTTAGCAGCATATTAGCTGAGAAACTAAAGCTTAACACTTTCCAGGACACTGGAAAGAAGAAACCCCAAGTTAATGCTAAAGATAATTATTGGCTGGTCACTCCTCGATCTCAGAGTGCGATTCATAGTTGGTTCTCTGACTTAGCAGGAAATAAACCACTTGCTATTTTGGCAAAAAAGGTATCAAGAGTTTCTTACATTGTTATAATTATAATCTTACAAATGAAGCTGTTTGAGATAATGTTCACATATATGTTTTTTCCTATTCTTTTTAAAATGGAAGCCTAAATTGCAGGTGTATAGTACCAGATGTGTGCTGATCTTATGTGTTCCCTGTATATTATGATTGCGTATGGTGCTCAGGATATCTAAAAACCTAGAGAGTCTGTACTAATAGGTGTGATTTTAAATCTAAGAGTAGCCATAAGGCTTCATTTTTTTCTCACTGTGTTTTTAATTTTCTTAGGTCAAGATGTGATAATAAGATCCTTAGCTTTGAGGTTATTTCCTTGACTATAAAAATACCCATCCAATCTAGATGCTTCTGCCTGTAATTGGGATTATATATAGACACACACAGACACAGACACACACACGTCTGTATCTTTAAGCTAAGTCGCCTTACCAAGATAAAGCTTTTTATTCTGTGCTTATGTTTTAGAAAAGTTTTGAATGAAACAATCAAATTTATTAAAGCTTTCAGCTTTTTTTTGGGTGGGGTGGGAGGGTGGGAGGTTCTTCTAAAATCTTTGCTTTTGATAATTTTCCTCCAGTGGAAATAATTAATATATAGGTTCAGTAATCTTGAAGTGTAAACAATATAAAATGGCTTTTTGAAAATTTAGTAAAGAAGTTAGAAGCTTCCCTCTTACTCTCTATCTGACTTCGTACACACTTTTGAACTAATCCCGGGTATCTTTTCTTGTTTCCCCTGAAATCCCTTAGTTTTAGGAGCTCTTATCTTCTGTTCGAAGTATGAAATGTTCATTTCTAACTGGTATAGAACCAGTTCAGAAGGAATAGTGCCTGAATCTTCCATTGGCTTAATTTTGATCTAAAGTCTTCACACTGTGTGCCTCAGCTAGCTTTCAGTGGTTAAAGGCACTTGCAGTCCTTGAAGAGCACATGATTCAGTATAACCAACTCTTACCACACAGTTAGTGCCACTATCTCAACCCATCTGAACCATGGAGCACTTCATCCCCAGTAGTAAATATCTACTTTGTGGTCTCATATGGCCTGTGGATTGATTGGTTCTGAAGGCCATGTAAGCCATGGGGTATCCTTCAGTGTTTGATGGCTTTTGATTACCAATTTATATTCTCCACACTGCCAGCCTGGCACTTTTTTAGGGTTTCCTTTGTTATAAGCTCTAAGAGTACACGTTCTGGATGCTTCCATAAAGTGAATGTTGATAAGGAATTGGTTTCCTGTCTTTTAGGAGGGCGATGACTCATGTATGCTGTATTAGCCATTGTTCTTCTTTCTTTATTAGGAGCTGCCTCTGGCCAAGTCAGGTATTCCTCAGGTAAGCCCTGACATTAATTCTTTGCAAACATGGATGTTTTCTTTATAAAACCATTGATTCAGCCTGGATGTATTCATGCCTTGGGAATTCCAAGAGTCCTTCCCCTCCCCTTCTCAGGATTTCATCTTTTTTAGGCGGTGAAAACTTTTTCAGAGCTGGGGCAAATGACCGCATTCTCTGTATGTCCTTCATGTTAGAAAGTTCAGACACTTCTTTTTGGTATTTATGTGTGAGAGGGCTTATGGTAGGAAACTGTAATTTACCTGGTGTAGGTCCTGAGTCATCTCTCAGCTCTTGCCTAGACTTCAGGATAGTTGCCTGTCTGGGGATGAATTATGTTTCTGGCATGGTTTTCTGTTACTGTAAAAATTCATAGTATTTGAGGTGTTTAGCCGCAGAGGGGTGTGTAAAGGACTTTAATTCAGTCACCATCATCACTTGATTTGGGAAAGGAAAACTCTTCCAACTAGGGACATTCTTCTAACACTTGAACAGTTGGCTGGTTCACCTGTTCAGTTCAGATGCCCTCGGTTTTTGTGGTCTGGAGATTTCCTTTGACCCTGGTCCTGTTTAGATAACCAGAGATGCTGAGGGTCATGAGCATCTAAGGGGAGAGGTGATTGGATAGCTTTGGCTACATGGCAGAAGCATACACCAGGCATCTTAATTCCCTTTGCAGCTTGATTGAGAAAGTTAATTGCTGCCCAGCAGTTGCTTGAAGTCAGATGGTTTCTTTACTGAAAAAGTAGGATCCTTCACTATAGAAAAATTACAGAAGACCTCATTTTCTTCCCAAGTTGACCCAAAGTGTAGATTGGACAAAACCATTGACACGTGTCTTCTTTGCCCTTCACGTCTATGTGTCTGGATATTGAAGCCCTTGACTCCACTCTCACGGATCCACCACCAGGGATGATGAGCTAAAGGCTGCACACTTTCAAATGTCTTATTTTTTCCTCTTACCGGTTGCTGTTTTAAAGAAACTCTTTGGTTATCTGTGAAAGATCCTGCCAGCGGTGACTTTGGAGAAGCCAACTTTTACTTTGCATTTGTCTACATTTTCAGGCTTTGCTCTTAGAACCTTTTGGTGTTTATAAATGTGAGGCAGCCTGTCTCAGCTACAATTTAAGCCACCAGTTCTGCGTTTCTTGTTCTGGTGAAAAGATTCAGGTCCTAAGCTAAATATTTGACCCTGTCCTTTTCTTGTCTGTCTTAAATGATTGTAAACACAGACCCTTGCATTCTATGAAAGTTGTGCATTATAAGCGGAATTTTCAGGAAATTTTCTTATTAAAATGTATCACTATGTTTTGCAGAAAGGAAGACGTACAGCTTTGGCCCACGTGTCTTTTGTTCCCCTTTTTAGTTGTATTTGTGCAGTGTGGTTTTCTCTGTCATGGGGGCTGTGTTCTGAGGTCAGCACCTAAGGTGGGAAAGTGTACCATCAAATACAGGATAACCATTCTTCAGTTATCCATCAGATACCGTGTGCTTGTACTGTACCTCGTTGGCAAGCCAGGCAAGCTTTCCTTCACATTGGAACAGCTTGGTATTTCTTTGGTAAGATCAGGTGAAGTAGCTTGTTTTAAGGTATGTGTTTGTGTGTGTGTGTGTGTGTGTGTATATATATATATATATATATAATTTGTCTGTTTGAGACAGGGTGTCCCTGTAGCCCCAGCTGTCCTGGAACTCACTATGTAGACCAGGCTGGCCTTGAACTCACAGAGATCCGCTTGCCTCTGCCTCCTAAGTGCCGGGAGTATAGGTATACGCCAAGTTACTTACCAAGTACACACCTTGTACCAAGCGTGTGAATAGCTAGATTTGTAAACATAAGTGAAGAAACAGCCACTGTCTAAATGATTTGGCAAACTAGTAGAAAAATGCTATGAACCATCAGATTTGAAGCCTTGATTTTTTTTTTTTTCCAACCCAAATTCAAGCATGATTTTACAGTGGAGAGCTCAGGTGCCTTGATGTCTAGGGTTGGGGAGTGGGAGTCTGGGCCAGCCTGGAGAAATTATTGAACTGGCAACAGAATTATTACTGGAATAATTGTGCTATACATAGTTCTTTTGTTTTACCAGTGTACCCACCCTGTGAGGTACATAGGGTTGGTATTGGCAAAATTGGGCTTAACCTATCTAATAAAACCCAGGAAAAGAGAACAGAGATGGTCATTCTGCTGTGGGGTGTGGCGTGTGTGTACCGTACATTCTTCCTGGCCCCATCCTGCTACATTTAAGTGAATGGAATATTGTTTACTGTTTTGTGCTATGTAACTGAACAGATTACATAGATGAACTGGCTACTCACAGGACATTTATGAGGCATTCTGGAAGAATGAATTAACCCTTTCATACCATTCCATGGTATATTGGGATACTAATTTGCTAAATAGTACCTTTGTGGTCTAGTAGAAATAATTAACTGCCTCAAGTGTCCACTTCAGCCAGTGAATTAATTACCCAGCTATTTATAGCTCAGTGTTTATTAGGCAGATTCACTGATCCATCATCTTAACCTCTATTTAAAATTTTGAGCTAAATACATTTTCAGAAGCTATCTAAAAATTGTCACTCTCATGAAATGTTACAGTTAGAAGGCTTTATACAAAAGTGTTTATGGCGAGAATACAGAATGAGAGCAGATTTTACTTGATCTGTCCCAAATTTGAGATAAAGCATTTGGAAGAGTGTCATGAAATTATTTTTCCCTATTTGTTGATAAGGCAAGTAGCTTTCAGTTTCTGAAGAATCTGAAGAGAGCTTGTTTTTATAAATAAGAGAGCACAGCTGACAAACTGGCCATTGTGCCAAATGTAATTTTAGTTCTTTTTTCTTAATGAAAATTGCCTTAACATATCTTCCGTCTCTTAGAACCACCTGTACTGTTTGAAAGCCCATCACTCACACACACACACGCACACACACACACACACACACACACACACACACAGAGAGACGCACTTTTTAAAAATTAAACATTTTTTATTATGTGTGTAGTGTATGCCTGTGTGTGTGCACTTAATGCTCACCCATGTAGCATATACTTTCTTATAGCAGCATGTAACTTCTGGCTTCTTTTTCTTCCTTCTCTATAAGTTTATCTAGCATTGATACAGTGTGTGACTGTTCTGTGTTGTTTCTTTTTAGGTCCCCATCCTTAGCAAAAAAGAGGATGTTTTTGCATATTTAGCTAAATATTCTGTGCCAATGGTTCGAGCAACATGGCTGATCAAGATGACTTGTGCCTACTATTCTGCTATTTCTGAAGCTAAAATTAAGAAGCGCCAGGCTCCTGATCCCAATTTGGGTAAGTGAGGCAGTGTGGTATGTTCTATATTTCACTATTGATTCTTAAGTAATTGTCACCTGCACCTCTAGATGCAGCTCAGCGTCCCAGCACGGTGAGTACTGAGAAGGTCCATGGTACAGCTGGAAGTCACTTGTAAGGTCAGGATGGGAGCTGGCTCTTCACTCAGCAAGTCAAATCGATATCTCCAGAATATACCTGGCATCTGACCTAAAGAGGGTGCTATTGATAGCTGGACAGGAGCAGCCTCTGGTTGCCAGCCCCCACTGTGTTTTTGTTGTTACAGTCTGGTCTATACAGTTGCCATCATGACTCCTGACTCTGAATCAGATCATACTGTGATTCTTGTGATAACATCACAGTAATTCCTTAGGATTAGAGTCCTGACTGGGGCTTGTGAGGCCGCCTGTGACTTGCCCTCCCTTCCTGCACTGTTCTGGCCACACCTGCCCTCCGTTCTTCTGTCCCCACTGCTCTGCTTCCATCCTTGGAACTGTGGCAGTGACTCCTGTTGCTTGTGCTTGGCTTTCTCTTTTAGTGGCTCTTGCCCGTCTCTGTACTAAGACTTTCGTTGAAAGGTCATTTCTTGCAAGGCTTTCGATGGCTATCTAGTAAGTAGTTGTCTTTTCTCCCTCTCTTCCACCTTCCTCTTTTGGTTTTGGTCTCATGTGTTATTTTATTCACTGTACTTTTAATACCTTCATGAAATTGTTACTGTTTATGTCTTTTTTTTTTCTCCCTTTAGCCCCAGTTGGTCTAGAACTCGCTGTGTAGACCACGCTGACCTCCATTTCACAGAGATCTGCCTGCCTTTGCCTCCTGAGTTCTGGATTAAAAGTGTGTACCAACGTGCTCGGCTGAAATGATTACTTCTTCTACAATTGTATCTTGGGGCTGGAGAGATGGTTTAGTGGTTAAGATCATTTGCTACTCTACTGGATGACCTGAGCTTGGCCCCCAGAACCCACACTGGGTGCTTACAGCTGCCTGTAATTCTCTTCAGGGGATCTGGCACCTGGACATTGTAGACACCTTCACTTAGATGCACATACTTAGATACACACAGACACATACACATAGTTAAAAATCTTTTAAAAATTTACCTTCATCAAAAAATTGTATTCTGTAGGAGTGATGCTAGGTTATACACTAAAATACAAGGCTAAGACCTATACAGGGTTTTCTCCCATCATGTCCCTATGCCCTGAGTTATGCTGTTCCAGGTCAATAATGTTTGCTGGATGAACCAAAAGCAAATTTCACAGTGTTGGAAACTGGACAGTGACACCTTGAGGTGGTGCTTTGTAAAAGCTAACAATGCTACATTAGAAATGGGCATAGAGAATTACATGTAAAGATGCCCATTGAACTGTTAGGTTTACAAATAATTCTTTATGAAACAGAAGCGTACCCATGGTTTTATAAAAGAGAACCAGGGGGTGAACCAGTGCTTGCTGTGCAGGCATAAAGACCTGAGTTTGAATCTGCAGAAACCATGTAAAGCAGCGCTCTGTAGTACCGGTGTTCCTCAGGGGAGACCAGAGACAGAATCCCGGAAGTCAGATGGCATGCAGTAAATAGTGTCACACAGTGATAGTAAAAGAGATTCTGTCTCAAAATAGGGCGAGGACCGACTGACATCAGACTTTGTCCTCTGACTCCCTCATGTGCATTGTGGCTTCCATACACACACACACACACACACACACACACACACACACACACACAAGAAAGGAAAAATTCCCTCAGAACAGGTAAGGGGCTGGAGGAGACGGTGGTTGGGAGCATTGGGAGCAGTGGCAGCCTTGATAGAGTTTGGAAATGGGAACTCAATTTAAAAAATCTCAAATAGGTAAGTTCTAGACAAAAACTGAAGTCTTAATTCTGTGCTTCCCAGTACTAGAGTTCAGCTTTACACAGACAATAAAAAATGAACTCTATTTAAAAATACAGACTTTACTATACATATATATATATATGTATAATATATATATATTATATGTATAATAGGGAGGACGTCATTCAGGAGGTGGACTGCGGTCATCCTCCGCTGTTTCCCCAGCAGTCTTGTTCTGTGTCCCCTGTGTTTGTTTATTTTCTCCCTTACGCTTATTGTTTTATGGGGGAACCGAAAGGAAATGTCCTTCTGTTCTGTCCATTTCATCACAACATTTTCAGATGATGTTTATGGAGGTAAAACAGTGTTAAAATTTCTCTACCGTCTTCCAGAAGTTTCTGAAGTTTCCTTTGTTTAGTCTGCACACACACCAACACCACACCCACACCCACATACAAATACCACACACACATGCATCCCTCCACAAGCACACAAACATCCCACACACACACATCTACACACCACACAACACAACCACCCACAAATACACAAACAACACACGTGCTCCCTACATACATGCATCCCATACACCGCACACATGCACACACATTACACCCCCTTTACACATACAACACATACCACAGACACATACACACCTGCCTCTATCTCCATTAGATTTATTAATACTTCTCAGAAGTCCTCCTCTTTCTACGTATTGTATGCATTCATTAGGTGAATAAATATGAAGGCCGTTTGTGTGAACTTGGACTTCTGTCTTCCTCTCAGAACTCGGCTTTCAGACTCAGGCCGTTTGTGTGAACTTGGACTTCTGTCTTCCTCTCAGAACTCGGCTTTCAGACTCAGGCCGTTTGTGTGAACTTGGACTTCTGTCTTCCTCTCAGAACTCGGCTTTCAGACTCCCAGCAATCCTGTCAGGTTTCCCTTCAGAATAAAAGCAAAGGCAGATCTGTCACTCTCCTGTGCTCACCGCCTCTACTCTGGCCAACTCTACCCCTTTGCATGTGTAAAATGGCAGGGAGCTAGCTGGGCCCCTTGCATTTATTCTTGCTACTGTAACAGCAGCTTTTGACTTTGTAGCCTGAATTTTTCAAACAGAAACCATGCTACTGCTGTGCTCCGAATCATCTTCTGATTGCTGCCCTGCTCAGATGCCTCCCTTGGGCCAACACCAGTGGCCTGCATGCACGATCTGACCATAGCCCTTGCCCTGTGTGTGGGCACTGTTTTACCTTTCCCTGTGGCATGCTACTTGGCTTTACCGTGGTATTTGCTGAGCTGGTACTTCTGTTTTTTCAAATAATATTTTTATTGATTATTTGAATGAATTTCAACCATATTCAGAACCCTTCCTCTGTCTCCTCTTCGATCCATCCCCTCCTTCTTACCCACTTACTTTGTGTTCTCTATTATTTTTTAAAAAGGCCTATTGAGTCTAATTTGTGTCCCTAGATACTCCTGGGTGTGGGTTCATCCCCTGAATGTGGTCAGCTCAACCATGCAGCATCACATCCTTCATGAAAACTGACTCTCCGTCTCCTAGCAGCTGTCTCTTGTGTATGGTTCCTCAGATTGGGGGGTGGGGCTTTGTGCCTGTTTCCCGCTTCCATGCTGGAATGTTGTCTGACTTGGGCTTACACAGGTCTTTTCGTGTGTAAAGCACTGTCAAAAGCACTGCGGGTTTGTGGGCAACTGACCTGTTGTGTCCAGAAAACACTTTCCTTGTATTCACCCAGCCCCTCTGGCTCTTATATTTGCCCCTCCTTTTCCATGTTGACCTCGGAGTGAGCTGATGCTTCTAAGCGAAACCTTCTGAGATGCCTCTGACCAGAATTACTGTCTGCTTGTTCTTGATTTTCGTTAGTTGTTAACACCATCTGTTATATTAACTTAATAGTCATCTGTATTCATCCAGTCCCAACTGGATGATACGGCTGCATGGGAAGCTTTGTAATATTCGATTAGTGCTACATTTCTCCTGATTTTGCTCAGTGCTGTTCTCTTAGGAAGGTCCCTGGCATATCAAAGTTGTTCAGTCATTTTTAAAATGAAGAAATGTATATGTGTGATGTCATTTTGTGTGTGTATGCATATTGCATATTTTAAAGTTTTCTCTAACTTATAATCCTTGAAGCTTCCAGGATCACTAACTGCACTGACTAGTGAGACTATGCCATACATTCTGTTTTCTTTACCACCTCCAATGCACATGGACATAGGTTAATTTTTTTTTCTTACCAGTGCAATTTTAAAACTGATACTTAAATACAAAAAAGAGCTGCCTGACTAGCTTGGTTGGTAGTGCATGAAACTTACATGTTTTTGTACTTACGTGCATGAAAGTACAAAGGAGTTGTGTAGGAATTATTCTCCCAACTGCATCTGAGAAGAATTTTAGAATAAATACCAGTTAGATAAACCCTTCTCATTTACACAGGTTATGTGAGAATCCTAGGTCCTAGTGGTTTATTTTCTCCTGGCTTCAAAGCTAAATTGTTATCATTTGAGTAAAAGGCGGTTGACTGGATTTCCTTACTTGTTCTATTTTTCTGTTCCTTCTTAAACAACATAGTATATGTCATTTTATTTTTTGTTTGTAAATTTATGGTCTTTATGATTATTTTTATATATTTAAAATTGTAAGTGTTTAAACCCATGAAGGTCGAGTGCCTTCTCTTCTGTTTCTTGTGATAACGCATACAAGCTTGAAACCTGAAAAATGCTTAAGTCTAAAAATAAAGATACTTTAAATTGTATGAATTTTAGGAGTTTGGTTTAACCTCATAGGTCTAGCATCTGAGAAAGAGCTTTGGGCATTATGTGCTCCAACTCTGCCACCAAGTGGTTAGGGGATTTAGTGATCCTCAGCATCTCCAGCCCATGCCTGGGGCATCTTCATCATGTCTTTTTAATTGCTTTTAATCTGGAACAGTTCTTAAACCTTTCTTTTTTCTTGATTGATATTTCTAAAGGAGGCGGACCAGTTATTTTGTAGCGTGGTCCTCCGTCTCCCTTTCTCTGAGTCCTCACGATTAGATTAAGGTGGTGTGCCTTTGGTAGGAGTATCATATATGTGCTGCTGGGATCATCTTAGTATTGCATTTCATATTGACCCTGTGATTGAAATCAGGTAGCGGCTGTCAGA